TTTCAGACCTAGAGTTTTATTTCATCCCTGACAGTTTGGACTCTTCACTAGTGTCTTCCTCAGAGTCACGTGACGTTTCTGTGACGTGTCTGGTCAGATGATTTAAAAACAGATGGGCGCTGTCTTCCTACCGATTTAACTAAAACGTGGGAACGATTTAACTAAAACGTGGGAACGATTTGACTAAAACGTGGGAACGATTTAACTAAGAAAAACGTGGGAAGGATTTAACTAAAAAACGTGGGAACGATTTAACTAAAAACGTGGGAACGATTTAACTAAAAACGTGGGAACGATTTTAACTTAAAAACGTGGGAGGGAACGATTTAACTAAAACGTGGGAACGATTTAACTAAAACGTGGGGATTTAACTAAAAGGGAACGATTTAACTAAAAACGTAAACGTGGGAACGATTTAACTAAAAACGATTTAACTAAAAACGTGGGAACGATTTAACTAAAACGTGGGAACGATTTAACTAAAACGTGGGAACGATTTAACTAAAACGTGGGAACGATTTAACTAAAACGTGGGAACGATTTAACTAAAAACGTGGGAACGATTTAACTAAAAACGTGGGAACGATTTAACTAAAACGTGGGAACGATTTAACTAAAACGTGGGAACGATTTAACTAAAAACGTGGAACGTGGGAACGATTTAACTAAAAACGTGGGAACGATTTAACTAAAACGTGGGAACGATTTAACTAAAACGTGGGAACGATTTAACTAAAACGTGGGAACGATTTAACTAAAACGTGGGAACGATTTAACTAAAAACGTGAAACGTGACTAAACGTGGGAACAGACTGTAAACCGGGACGAGGGGCTTTTTTACTCTCACACACCTGGATACTGTCCTGAGGAAGTGGGACTGCAGGTGGCGCTGTCGTCATCCTGCCTCCACCGGTCCCATGTTCCCACGTTTTTTAGTTAAATCGGTAGGAAGACAGCGCCAAAACCTGTTTAAATCAACTGACCAGACACGACACAGCAACATCACGTGACTCTGAGGAAGACGCTAGTGAACAGTCCAAACTGTCAGGGATGAAACAACACTCTAGGTCTGAAAAAAAGAACCTAATAACAACAGAACAACAGAATATCAGAAGACCAAATGAACCTCATTGGACTTGTCCAAACATGGACGCAGCATCGAGCACCTGGAGATTTTAAAGTTCCTCTCGTACCGGAGCCACAACATGAACAACTGACTTGTTTTAAGGAGGAGATTGAGAAGGAGAAGGACGAGGTTTGTGGTCGTGGTGTTTTGTGGTGAGTGGAGATGTGCTTCACTTCAGTCACATGGATCATGAACAGTTTTTGTGTGACGAGAAGAATGTTTGTGTACATTTGTGTCTTGTTGATAATGTGTAGGTGGATGAATGTGACCTGACCGTTCACACTGAAGTCACATGTCAAAAGATCAGATATGGATCAGTTTCAGGAGCACAGATCCAAGTGTCCTGGGTCACATATGAAAACATCAGATCTGTGTGGTTCAGACTGACATTAAAAGATCAGATACAGGAACATAGAGACAAAAAGTCAGATTTGGGTCACTTCAGGTGCAGAGTGAACGCAGCCATAGAGACAAAAAACTGACAACTGATCCACAATGTTCATGTTTATATTTAACTTCCATTGACACTTTAGGGCTAAAATCATTTATTAAAGAAAAAGTGATGTTTCAGTTCAGATTTAAGGCCACAGACACTAAACTCCAGAGCAGGGTTGGGCAAACTTTTTGGCTCGCGGGCCACATAAGGTCCTGAAATTTGACTGAAGGGCCGGACAGGACACGGGACATGACGTGTTCAGAGCTCGGCACCACTGCACTCGTATTTACGTTCATGTAGGACGTGTTCTGCACTGTGCACTGCAACTGTGACGTGTAAGTTTCAGAACACATGGAAAGTGAAGAGATCTGCTCCACTGCACAACACAGACACATGTGAGCCCTGAGCGGTGAGGTCTCACTGAGAACCAGAGCTCATGCCACAAGGTCACGCACATAAACACCTACATGTGCTGTAAGAGCAGACTGTTACGACGTTCCACTTGTGAAGATTTGTAACACTGTCTATAAGTTTTTAGAATTAGTTTTGAACCCACTCAAAATGGAAACAGTGCAGTTTTATGTCTTGAACACTTCTGCCTCACTCATGGTCCAAATACACCACCTGAAAATGTCTCCTGTAAGAACATTTTCCCATAAAACTTCACGGCCAACATAATACTGCACCTCAGTGTATATGTAGTGCACCATCTACTGGGAAACGCCGGAAATGCAGGAAAAATAAAACATGAAAAAGGTTTATTATTGTATTTTATTCCAGTTCAGAAGGACGGATTAAATGGTTTAAAGGGCCACATATGGCCCCTGGGCCGTAGTTTGCCCACCCCTGCTCCAGAGTCTTTATGGACCCAGAATTTCATGAAATTTCTCATGGAATTTTACTTTGACAAGTGTAAAAAATGTTATTCTAGGAACAGATTGATTTTCAAACATTTTTCAAAAAGTCGGGCAAATGATTCTCCCTGACGGCTGCGCACTTCCTGTTTGGAGCGCGACGGTTTGAGGTCAGTGAACGTTTTGTGGTTCAGGCTCTTTAAGGTCCCGACTGTTTGTCTTTGTGAAGCGTCTCTTATCTGTGTGTGTCTGTTTGTGTGTTGCGTGTGTGTGTATATGTGTGTGTGTGTGTGTGTATATGTGTGTGTGTGCATGTGTGTGTGTGCATGTGTGTGTGTGTGTGTCAGTCTGGTTTGTTTGTGTTACATCTGTTATTTCTCTGTCTCGCTCTGTGACCTGGTTTACTTCACGGCTCAAACTCGAGGGGAAAAACTCCACAAACTCCGTGAGCTTTAAAACTGGACTAAGTTGAATGTTTTACACAGAGCCTCTGATGGTCACATGTGACATTCTGGGTGTTTGAAGTGTGCACCTGGTGTCTCTGGGAGGAAAAACAGACATACAACTTAGTTCCAGTGACCTGGTGTCAGATCTCAGGATTCCACTGAGTCGTGTCCTTTAGTCTGACAGAAGTTGAACCACATCAGCGACACAAGGAAACAACTGTTTTCTGAGCACTTAGTTTATGCTGAATAGCCACGCAGTTTAAGGTTTTAAGGTTTTTATAAGTTTTTTTTCATGTTTTCTTTTCCTTCATCCTCAGACAAATTCTTCCTCAGTCTCTTCGCTGGTTGAGTCATGACCGACACTTCACAAATAAACACCAGATATTTGTTCTTGCAGTGACGTGTGGAGAGCGTCGGTAAAGGGAGTGTCGCGGCTCCGTCACCTGTGTGTTTGTACAAGAGGTTTGACTCTCGCGAGAACGAGACCAGAGTCCTGAGATCTGACACCAGGTCACTGGAACTAAGTTGTGTGTCTGTTTTTCCTCCCAGAGACACCAGGGGGCAGTGCACACTTCAAACACCCAGAATATCACACGTGACCATCAGAGGCTGGGTGAAAAACATTCAACTTAGTTCAGTTTTAAGTCATGTTCTGATGTTCTGATGTGTTTTGTTTCATTCACACGCTGCAAAAAAACAGTCTAGTTTGAGGTTAAAATGACTTGAATTAAGAAAGTTTTATCATAATTTGAGTAAATTTCACTTGACGAGTGAAATGTTCTGCAGTGGAATAAAACTTTTACACTTAAAATATGAAAACAAAACTTTCTGCTCTTAGACAATCAGAAAAAAAAACAAAAACAATATCGAATGTGGCTTGAATTAAGCATCGAATAAACGAAATAAACTCAGATAAACGAAATAAACTCAAATAAAATCAAATAAATGAAATAAACTCAAATAAACAAAATAAACTCAAATAAATGAAATAAACTCAAATAAACGAAATAAATTCAAATAAACAAAATAAACTCAAATATACAAAATAAACTCAAATAAACTAAATCAACTCAAATAAACTCAAATGATCTTTATTTAAGTCATTTAATTTTATTTACATACAGTGCACATGTTTGAGTGACTCTTTTCATCTGTCGACATTTCCAAAGCTCCAAACGCTCTGTTCCACCTTGTGATGTCATCAAGTGAACAGCTCCTTTTCCCTTTAGTTCAGTCGAATCTGCAGCTCCAGAGTTTGTGCTTTAAACAGAAATAAAAAAAAAAAAAAAAATAAATAAATAAAAATTAAATATAGATAAATATAGAATAAAACACACAAAGATTAACGACTTGAGATTATTTATGAGCAAAATCACCAAAATTATTTTATTTCAGTGACTTTATTTTTTATTTTTTTTGTCTTAAACCTTTTTCCATTCGGACTTTTCCAGAAAAACAAAAAACATTTAAACGTGTGAAATGTTTAACTTGACCACAGGGGGCGCTGTGTCCACAGACACCTGATCTGAACCAAAACAAAACCCCGACAGAGAAGAAACCAGGTCTGAACCAGGTCTGAACCAGGTCTGAACCAGGACTGAACCAGGACTAAACCAGGTCTGAACCAGGTCTGAACCAGGTCTGAACCAGGACTGAACCAGGACTGAACCAGGACTGAACCACGTCTGGCCCTGGTCTGGTCCAGGTCTGGTCCAGGTCTAAACCAGGTCTGGTCCAGGCCTGGTCCTGGTCTGGTCCCGGTCTAGTTCAGGTCTGGTCCTTGTCTGGTTCAGGTCTGGTTCAGGTCTGGTCCTGGTCTGGTTCTGGTCTGGTTCAGGTCTGGTCCTGGTCTGGTCTGGTCCTGGTCCA